TTTACACAACAGCTCATTATTTAAAGTCCCAAATAAAAAATGTCCAAGGGGTAAAGTCCAAAAAATTCCCAGGGTGTGAAAGAAAATAGGGGTGAGAGAATGTCAGTCAGTGGTCTCATGTATAACCAGCTGTGTGTGAAAGTGTGAGTGATACAGTCCTACCACACCGCAAGGTGCAGCAGATCATCAAGTGGAAAAGAAGCGAATCTCCCCATGTGGAAAAGAAATAGTAAAAACTTACATGATTTACTCATGAAAGTGGCCACTTTCTCATTACTTTCATATATTGTTTTAGTAAGTATCCAAAACATACAAGTTTCATTATATAATTTTTTCAAGGGATCTTATATCTGTTTTCACTCTTTTATGCTTTTCATACAAGTTTCACACAAGACAGATACAAACTTTATAAGATTTATATATATCTTTTCCATATGGGTCAGTCTCTCTAAGTCCAGGTGGGAAGGCTCGCCATCTATTTCACCGGAGGAATCCACCTCAGGAACAATTCAGCATACAAAAAAAAAAACCCTGACCTGTCAACAGACAGGGTCAGAAGAGCAATTCAAATATTAATTATGCTGTTCTAGCTATAATTCACAACTTAGGATTTTGTTGAAATCACATTCAACATCAATTTGCAATTAAAATACTCAAATTTGCAAAAATAAAACATCTCTCTTACACAAACTATGCATTAAACCAAGTAAAGTCAGTGCATATACGACAGTTATTAATCAAACAATTAAGATAAATTCAGTTTCTCAACAATAAAATGCAAAACAGACTTAACTGAGACATACAATATGTGCTCACCGATCTTAGTGCATCGCGGCCGAAGACAATGGTATGGTGTCTCTTGGTCAGAAAATGCGGGGCTCTAAATAACATAACAGGACATGTTGTTTTTCTCTTTAATAACTGTAATACAACATGGAGGAAAATAAACATAAGTTGCGCTTCAAGTGTTACCTTACCTACTGGAATTTCAATAATGTATTTTGTAACTGCAGTACACATAATACTCATTTTAAACTATTTTGTCCAGGTTCCTTGCCACCGCAGACTCCTTCAGGACCATCGCGTTCAGTTTTCGAGTTGGTGTGTCCACGGTGAGCCACATCATCCCCCAGGTAGCGACAGCCATCTGGGACTGTCTAGTGGACGATTTCATGGTTGTGCCTTCAACTGAAGTCTGGCGGTCCATCACAGAGGGATTCCAGGAGCGCTGGAACTTCCCTCTGTGCTGTGGAATTCTGGATGGGAAGCACGCCCAAAGGAACCCCATATATCATATAGGAGACACACACATTGATATACACTAAATATTTATTCCATTTCTTTTTTTGTGGTACCCAAATTTATGCACCTGCTTGATTTTATTTAAACAATTATTGCACACTTTCTGTAAATCCAGTGAACTTCTTTTCACTTCTCAAATATCACTGTATGTGTCTCCTATATGATATATTTAACTCACATTTTTTATTGTAACCAACAATTTATACAGGAAAATGATGGCTATTAACAATGTTGCCCAAACTTTTGCATCCCACTGTATTAGTATATTTTGTCATTAGTATAATATGAAATAAATTCTACATGTGTCAAGTCGTGTGCCAACATTTGCTGTGTAGTAGAACCGAGACATTAATGAAATAATATTAAAATTCTCACACAGAAATACATTAAACATAAATATATAAAATATAAGTATTTACAGAGAGACAGGAATAAAAAGGACCAGCTGCTCTCCAGAGCAGGAACAAGGCTGAGGAGGAAATGCTCCATTGGAGACTGGCGTGGCCTCTTCAGGGACACCAGGATGGCCAGCTCCACCGCCGATGGACAGTCCTGGGACCCGTCCCTCATCTGCCTCGGAGGTGTCCTCCTCTGTGGACCTGTAAAACAGCACAAAACACAAAGAAATGAGAAGACTGCTACTAGATTTTAATTTCAACATCGAAAAAAAAACCCAAACAGGATATAATCAGATTGGTTGTAGATATTTAGTAAAGGTGATCACAAGGGAATCCCACCGAGTAAAAAGCTATCAGTGCTTGCTGTACATCTGATGCTACAATTACATACCTGTGGTGCAGCAGCAGGAGCTCAGGGACTGGGGAGCCAGGAGAAGCAACAGGGGATGCTCTGCTGCAGAATCAGTTGGTTCTATCCAGTATTAAATGTTAACAGGTTGAATATAATAATCATAAAGTAGACAGTGGTCCCTCATTTATTGCAGCAGGGGTTCTCAGAATAACTAGCCCCTGGTCACGAACTTTATACACTGTTTTCCCCACACACATGAACATTGGTCACAGTTCTCACAATTGATTCTCAAAGTGCAAACCTTTGTAGATTGCAAAACGTAAAAGTATTATTATGCTGCGTTTTGTCTTCATCTGCCCGCCACTTTCGTGCGCCTTTTTCCCTCGCGGTGCAGGTGTGTATTTCCGAATGAGGTCGATAGTTATGGGTGTTTTTGTGCTGTTTTTTCTATTGGACGTGATGGTTATCAAAACCAAACGTGATAAATTTGGCAAGCGCAGGAGACACGACACGGAGGAGATTTGTCAATCAGGCTGCAGAATGCAATCAGCGAAAAAGCGAAGCAGTGACGGATGAACAGCGGGACCACTGTGTGCTGTTTATTAATAAACAATAAAATATATTCCTAAATGACAACATGCATAAAAGCAGAACGGTATTTGTACGTCAGTGGGAAAATAGCGGTGGCTTGCTAGCTTTTGTGCGGCTTCCCCGGGTCAGTGAAAACTTTCAAAAGAGAAATGAATGAACTTACCAGGTTGCCCGATCTCTTCACATATCTTCCTCCAAGCTCGGTCCTTTTTATTCCTGTCTCGGTACAGAAAGCAGCTGGTGTCGTACAGCTCCGGTTGTTTGCTACGGCATTGATTAGCCTCCCTCCATTGAAGTATGAAGGGCTTTGGCTGGATCTGCCCCTTTGACCTAGGTCACAGCCACGTCACCAGGCTCCTGATTGGTTGTCGCGGCGCGATTTGACGCTGGAGTTCAGATTTTTCCAACTCGAGCGGTAGACGCGAAACGCGCGTATGCACAAAATGCAACACAAAAACTCACGCGCGTGGTTTTATTCGCGAGTCAAACGCGCCAGACGCGCTACACTGACGCGCGTTTCACGGTTTTGGCGACGCAAATTTGCTTCCGAATTTTCACGGGCTTTTCCATTGACTTTACATGTAAACCTGACGCTCTATTCGCGTCCAATGCGTTCGGTGTGAACACACCGTTAGAGCCGGATCTTTGACATGAACGTCGCGAGCCGGCACCTTATCACCAGCCGGAGTTTGTTTGTTTTTTTCTTTCTCTCACCCTCTCTCTCTCTCTCACACTTTTTTTCTGCTCCCCACTATTCCCTAAGAGAGGGGGGGAGGGGCGGTAGTTACACTCGCAGTAGCACAGGAACAGAGCGGGAGGGAAAGAGAGAGAAAGAGAGCCAGGGACAACAACGTCACATTAGAAAGGTATAGTAATCATCCACAACTATTTTCAGTTGCAGATGATAAAGGATTCAGAAAGTTTATTCATGCAGGCCATATGACAGAGAATGTGCATCTTCTTTTTGTTTTCATATTTTAATTTATATTTAATTGTGTTGTGGTTTGCAGTGTTTTGTGTTGTTTCACTTTAAATTTGTTTAAAAGGAAAAAGCTGAAAATTTAAATAGTTAAAAGTTGAAATGTGAATAGTTGGTTTTTGTATTATATGATTTATTTATTACATTTTATGTGGAGTGAATAAATAAAAGTATATTTACGGTGGCCCCTACAGACAAAGCACGTACAAATCAATCGTACAACCAAGCACGTACAAACTCCAAACACAAAAACTCCAAAACACGTACAAACCCCAACACGTACAAACTCCAAACACGTAAAAACTCCAAAACACGTACAAAAGTCAACAGAAGTGCTCCAGGATGCTAGGCGCAGTGTAGTGGCTACACAAGCCAGAAAGTACCAACGACCGGATTTGGTGTGTGGTAGTAACAGGTAAATGAACATTTTTTTTGAATTGTTTGAATATATATGAGTGCTTGTGTATAAATATCACAAACAATACACATATGCTTTCAATTGTGTAATTTAAGTGATCTAGGTAGCTCTGTTTTGGAAGTTCAGTTAATGCTAGAAATGTGTTTTGGAGTTTGTACGTGCTTTGTCTCTAGGGGCCACCGTATATATTTATATATAAACATATATAAATAAAACCACTTTTTTTTACATTAGTAATTCCTTTTGTGCATAATTTTATATTGTTGTTAATAATAAATTAATTAAAGCAACAAAACAACCTGAAGAGCCGGTTCGGAGCCGAAAGAGCCGGCTCTTTTTATGCCGAGCCGAAAGAGCCGGTTCTCTAAAAAGAGCCAGAAATCCCATCACTACTCCACACATAGCAGCTAACACAGCGAACATGGGTGGGACATACAGCGGCAGCCTGCTCTCCCATTGGTCAAGACATACTGGGACCTGTGCATTTCGATTGATTGGGCAGGCTGTCCATCTCTCCTCATATCAGTCCTTAAAGTGGTACCGTCATTGTATGTGGGTTACACTTGTGCAGCAGAAATAGGATCTGTCACAAATGGACACAGGACCTCAGGGTTGGTCCTACACTGTTTTGTAAGCAAGGTTGTTCTAGAACAGTGCTTCCCAAACTTTTTCCAGCCACGTACCCCTTGAGACATGTCACCCTCAGCCGCATACCCCCTACTACGAACGACTCTTAATTAGTGTCTATAAATACATTGCAATATCGCATGCATAAAAATAAATACTGCACAGTCGATTATTTCTCACCACCAAATGAATTTATCAATATTTTTTAGTAATGACAGAGTTTTAATAACAAACTTTACTACTTAATACTAGCAGTGTATCAAAGGATTTATTAGAATTCACTTTTTTGTCGAGAGCATAAAGGCCATGAACTTTCATTAAACAGAACTTTATTTAATGTGATGGATGTGCTTGAGCAGAGGCACACAGCTCTTCAATGTTTGGCTCAATTTGGGAAAGGCTGAGTCTTAAATCGTTTTCCACACAAAGTCTTGCTCTGTATTTTGTTTTCATGTTTGTTAAAGCAGAAAATCCCCTTTCGCATAAGTATGTGGTGGCGAAAGGCATCAGAGTCTTGACAGCGCGCTTAGCCAGCGCGGGCTGTTCAGTGCGCAGCCCTATCCAGAAATCCGCCAGGTTCTTTTGAGCGTGTTCAACTTTTAGAGATCCATCTGTGGCAATTTCAATTAGGCTCTCCTGGTCAGACGGTGATAACGAAGTAGGCACAGCGGTGAACGGGTGACGTATCCAATCATTTGAGCCGTCCGTCTCTGGGAAGTATCGGCGTAACTGCACCGCCAGCTCCTCAAGGTGCACGTTACATTCGCGCTTTACACTTTTAGATAGTGTGAGATCATTAGAGCACAGAAAATCATGCAGCACAGGAAAGACTTCAGTGTTGTTTGTATCCAAGCAGTTCTTCCAAAGGTTTAACTTCTTTATCATGGCCTCAACTTTATCTTGAACATTGAATATAGTTGCAGAAACGCCTTGTAATCCGAGATTGAGCTCGTTCAGACGAGAAAATATATCACACAGATAAGCCAGGCAGGTAAGGTACTCTTCATCATGCAAATGTTCAGACAGCTCAAAGGGATGGTTACTGAAGAAAACTTTAAGTTCATCCCTCAACTCAAAGAAACGGGTCAGCACTTTCCCTCTAGATAGCCAGCGAACCTCTGTGTGGAGTAATAATGTCTCATGCTCGCTGCCCATCTCATTGCACAACGCAGCAAATAAGCGGGAGTTCAGCGGCCTGGCTTTCACAAAGTTAACCATTTTTACACTCGTGTCCAAAACATGTTTCAAACGGACAGGTATTCCCTTTGCAGCAAGAGCCTCTCGGTGGATGCTGCAGTGTACCCAGGAGGCATCTGGCGCGACTGCTTGCACACGCGAAACCACACCTCCGTGTCTCCCAGTCATGGCCCGTGCGCCATCAGTACAGATGCCAACACATCTGTCCCACACGAGTCCATGTGTGTTCATGAATGTGTCCAGCTTTTGAAAAATATCTGCGGCAGTTGTCCTTTGTTCCAGTGGTTTACAGAACAGCATGTCCTCCTTGATGGTTCCTTCATGAATGTAGCGCACATATACGAGAAGATGCGCCAGGCCAGCCACATCCGTGGACTCATCTAGCTGTATTGCATAACATTCACTGTGGCGTATGCGCAGAAGTAGCTGCTGTAAAACATTTTCTGACATTGCATTGATGCGCCGTGAGACAGTATTGTTTGATGATGGAATGGACTGTATCGTCTTTTTTGCCTTTTCCCCCAACATTGTCCCTACCATATCTAAAGCAGCAGGGAGAATGAGGTCCTCCACAATAGTGTGGGGTTTGTTGTTTTTAGCCACTCTGTAACTGACCATGTACGATGCTTGTAGTCTGTTTTTATTCATAAGATCTGGCACCTGAATGCAGGTTTTACTTGTTGAAAGTGATTTTAGCTGTCGCTCAAAATATTCCCTTGGTTTATTTTTCAAATGGGGATGATTTGTCTCTAAATGTCTGCGCAAAAGTGAAGGTTTCATTGAGTTCTGAGACAATACTTTTGCACAAATAACACACTGTGGCCGGGGAAATCCACCAATATTTATACACGTAAACCCCAGCGAAATATAATTGTCATCATATTTGCGCTTCTTTGATGAGGTTGTGTTACAGTCCGAGCTGTCATGCTTTCTCCCACTTTGACGCTCTGCATCAGACACTTCATCACTTTCCACATGGCTGGCTCCAGCTATGTTAGCCACTTGGCTAGTAACCACAGATACATCCCTGCTAGCACTGCTAGCATCCAAATCTGACGAACACATTGTTGTTGAACAATCACCTGTGCGGTCACTGGAAAATGCATCTTCAGATATGAGCTTATTGGTTGTTGTGGCCGGTGTCTCTGTGGTAGGGCCTTTTTTTCTTGTTAACCACTTGTCCATTTTCGCGCTGCACTGAATGCTTGGAGGCAACTTCAACTGTTAGGTGTCAGTCATTTGGGCAAATCACGCCCATGTATTTTGTCAGAGCTATTTTTTTGCTGAACACCAGAGGGTGGTATATAGTCATGTATTTGACAGGCAAATAAAACTGCATTAGCGCAAATTTCGGCTTTTAAAACTTTTGATCCCTACTCCAACCCCAACCCACGCGTACCCCCTACAGCCACTTGCGTACCCATGAGGGTACGCGTACGGTAGTTTGGGTAGTTTCTAGAACATTCCAGCACATCCTATTCAGTCAGACATCTTCCTGTTAATAGGGAGTTTTTCCTTCCCACTGTCTCCAAGTAAGGTTTTTTCTCCATTATTGTAAAGTCTTTACCTTAAAAGAGACTTGAGGCAACTGTTGTGATTGGGGCTTATATAAATAAAACTGAATTGAATCAAAATATTCTGCTAAGAGAGATAATGATTTTATTGTTGTGGTTGACTGAATAAAATATTTCACTTTCCAGTAAAGGACAATATTTATTGCTCTGCTAATAGATCAGTGTATACTGCAGAGTTTGAAAGGACACTGTTAAAATGTACCCTGATGATAGGACAATCACTTTTTGCAATTTTCAGTATCCCTTTAACATGGCAATCCTTATTCTTTACAACATGCTTTCAGGGTGGCAAGAGATATTTTAACATCATGAGGATAGTTGATGGCATTATGCAGAGTTCTGCCCGCCTGTGTTATGCCGAGTTCACCGTGCTTGCCAAAGAGCCTTGTTATACAATTAACAATACGGTTTTCTTTGTAATGTTCAACAATGGTAATGTTTTGGCTGTCTGTAGATTCCTAACATCTTTTTAAAGAATATTGTGTTACGATAGAAACAGGAAATTACAAAATAACCCCCCCACCAAAAAAAAAAGGAGAAAAAAATAAATAATATACCAACGCCCTTCCTGTACAGCGAGAACTTTTGTTTTGAACCTCAGGGCCATTGTACTCCATTGTAATCCCCATCATGTAATATGCGGCCACCTTAATTGTCCTCACTTTTGATCGACCCACAGCTTATTTATTCCATTTTGTGAAGGAAACCAGTAGCATGCAGAGCAGTAATGACAATAATTGAAAATAGGGAAACTGATTGAATAGACAAGTTTTACACGAGCATATATTTCATGGCTTCCCGGATGAGTAGCTTGAGAAGAGCCATTGAACCCTGAAATGGGATTTCTCCACAGAACATTTGAGATACTCGTTCGACAATGTTCACATGCTGGAGTTACATCCATTGCTAAATGGAGAAATGCATTCAAATCAAATGCAAATCGCACGGAGGCAACCACTTCAGGATTGTGTGAAACTGCACCGTGAATGCATATTTCTGGTGCTGTTGTGTAGCGGGGAAATTCATCACGTTCTTTCCCTTATTTTGTACAATATAAACTGTATATTGGTGCCTGTGTAACATACTCCGTGAAATATTTGCTTTGCAATCTATAAAGTAGCAAATGCAGCACTTTTTATTTTTCGCCTTGGTGAAGTACTCCGATGTGGGGTTTGCCTTGGCTCGCTGCTGAACAGTTGTATCAACCGGCTCAATCAAAGAGAGCTTGCGCGAAACAAGTGTATCTAATCCCCAAAGCAAATTGGTTCCACTTGAAGATGTATAGGCCCGGCAAGTCATTAATTGTTATCCCAAAGTAAGGCACAACTCACTCCCACCACCACTGGATAGCTCCACTGGGAGAGAGCTGGCCAAATTAAGATTCAGGATCTGAGCAAGTGCCCTTCGCAAGTGGAAAAAGGAGTCTATCCAGTCTTTTCCTAGGTGACGCTGGATTTGGTGTGACTGTGGGGACCTCCATATAAGGAAAAGCATTCAGGGCAACACTTGTGAGATTGAGCAAGGAAGAGGCTGAGGGAGAGGAGAGGAACAAGGGAGGGACAAATCCTAGAAGGGCAAAGGGGCATTTTTGAAGCAGAAGAGGGCCCGCGGGAAGGAGTGAGAAGTTCCAGGAAAAAAATAACTTTTGTTTAGTTTTGTAGCTGAGAGAATTTCCACATTTACACGAATTTCCCCAGACGGATTGAAAGGACCATTTTTTGCAGAGGAAAGAAGTGGTGGGGTGGGGGGTAATGCATGCAAGCATTTATTCCTCAGTAGAGCAAAGGATGCTTCTTAAGCCTGTCTTTGTTTTTGAAAGGTTCCTGTCAAAGGGTTTTTGTTTTTTTTTTTTAAAAAAGCTCCTATTATACCTGTATCTAAATAACATATCCAGAAGGTCTTTCTCCCTGAGCTTTCTCTTTTTTTTTTCAAGAAAAAGGTATGCCTCCCAGTTTGGAATATAAGATGCAAAGAACATAAAGGTTGTGCTGCAGCTCTTTTGTAATTTATAATACGGGCCTGAATCCAATCTGTCGCATTTATCTGCGCACTATTTTTATCACCTTTTGATCAGAGCAGCTCGGGCTTTTAAAGACGAGCAGGCGCAGAAAGATTTTCGGCGAGAGAATGACACGTCTGTATCGGCAGTTGCGGATGAAAGCGATTTTTAAATATTCAGGCAAACATCTAAATGAAAGAAAGAGTGTTCAAGCAGGTTCGTTAGGGATGAAACCTGTTTGATGTTTTTGACAAGAATAGGCACGGTGCCCTGCCCAGGGCTGCCCTAACACAGCAGGCGGTAACGGGGGGGAGGGGACTACAGATGGGAGGCAAAAAGAAATAAGATGGCAGCGAGGCTTGTTTTTGTGTGCATGGCTTTGGAGTTATTCATAGAGGTTTAATGTAGTGTGATCTGACAACAGACTCCATTACGGTGGAGTTCAGCAAAAGTAAGTAAGCCACCCTTAGTGTCATCCAGGAATGTAATTACAAAAAAACCCCCAACCTGCCAAGACCTGAAATATGAGCTCATGGCAAACTTCCTGAACACTCAGGTGTCAATAATTTCTCATGAAAACCATAAAAATGTCAAAAAAAAAAAAAGTATGACAGACCTCAGTGTCACTTTCACAGCACAAGTCTAAGCTGGATTACTTAAATGTTGACTTGTGTCATTTGAAAAAAAAAAAAGAAAGAAAAAGGAAAGAAAAGAAAAAAGCAGTTGCGTAACACAAACAAATCAGCTGTGTGCGAGGTTGTGCGGTGCATCGTGTGGCGGCACCCCTGCACGCACCTGTGGCTTATTTGTGTCTGGGATGCAGCTCAAAAATTTGCCAGTTAATCAGACAGAAGTAATTAGGAATTGTTTGCACAGGCGGAGGACAATTGTTTGCCAGATGGAGAGCTCATACCTCCCAAAGTGCTACCTGCTCGGCATCACCGGCGCACGTTTCGAAATTCCATCACAAATTAAATCTCAGTTTAGCTCGTGATATCTCATTCCTTCGACTCATCTTATCTCCTGTTCCTACTTAAGAAGTTGCCTCAGAGCGGAGATAAGGGAGCAGGGAGAGAGGAACGCTGCGATCCTGCTCTTGACAGATTAATTCATTGGGGTGGGGGGTGGGGGGGTTGTGTTCCTGCTAACGTGGCAGCTATAGGCATGTGATAATGTATGTGATAGCGTGGAAGGGAAAGATGGAAATGTGCCACAGCCCACATGTGTGCTTGTTGGATGAATTGTGTTGAGCAAAAACAAAAACACACTAAAAGCCAAAGGACCAAGTTGACTGTTGTCATGATCGTGAGAAAAAAATGCAAATACCTGTAAAAGAGAGAAAATACAGTGTTCAGGAAAAATATTGCAATATATGTAGGCCACAGAGTTTGGTATATTAAAATCTGATGACCTCTGATTGCAGCTCAGCAGAATGTTTCTCATTTTAAACTGCTTGGGCCTAACAAAACAGCTCCCTTGCGGTTTATAATGGAGTTGAAATTTATTAGTAAAATAATTTTCATTAGCACCGTATCTCAAACTGCTACTAAAACAGACAATAAAACACCAAAGACTAATACAGCCCGAAACTCCTGAACATAAGTAGTGTTTTCAGAAATGCAAATCAGTTTACTTGTTATGTTAAGTCGTACTCAGTGAAACCATCTGCCTAATGTTATAGAATTTACCCTCATTCTGTGAAATACATGACCCCTTAGGACTTGGACCGCTGCAGGGATTCTGTAGTGGACTGTGACATTGGATCCATTGGATCCTGTGGGTTGCAGGATAGGACCCTCATGGATCGTGCTTGTTCCACCCCATTACAACAAGCAGATGCTCAACTGCTATCGGAGCCAGGCTAACGACTACAAGTCTTTCCTCTTTTCCTAAGAAACATTCCTAAACAGTCTTTTGAGTATATCACCTAGATGAGGCCGCAGTGATTGTTCAGTGTTTGTGGTGTCTTTTGGAATATTTTTAATGGAATTACAAAAGTCTTAAGCCACCTCTTGTCACTTTGCTTTCAAGGAGTCAGACTGTCA